AAAGGGAGTAAGGGGTCACAAAACACAGAGTAGGGAGACAAATAGATAGAATCTGAATAGGATAGCAAATATTCAACTATAGCATTAGGATAAAGGGAAGGAAATCACGAAAGCAAAGACAATCTTATCACCCTAACCACAAACTCACAACACAAGTTGGAATAAGAGATGAAAATAATAATTTAGGAGAGGAGGAGGAAAGGGACTGAAACAGTCTAGGCTAAGGAAGTAAGAGACCACCAGAAAATGAACTATGTTATACACGAGATTCTGAATACAAACTTCAGGGTAGCCACTAAACTAAAAAACAGAACAGAGACACAAAACATAAATAAGGAAAAACCAAAGAAGCCCAGCATAAGAAATTGCAGAAGTCAATGGGTAGGCTAAAACACACAGGACAAGAAACAAAGGAAACACGGGAAAATCAGAAAACGAGCAACAGAATGACAGCATTAAGCCCTCATGCATCAATACTCACCCTCAATGTAAACGGAGTGAACTCTCCAATAAAAAGACACAGAGTGGCAAAATGGATTAAAGAACAAGATCCAACAACTTGTTGTCTCCAGGAAACACACCTCAGCTCCAAGGACAAACACAGCCTCAGAGTGAAGGGGTGGAAGACAATACTCCAAGCTAATAGCAAACAAAATAAAGCGGGTGTCGCAATACTTCTATCAGACAAAACAGACTCCAAGACAAGGCAGGTAAAGAGAGACATAGAGAGCCAATACATAATGATCAAAGGGACACTCCATCAAGAAGAAATAACACTTATAAATATCTATGCACCCAACACAGGAGCACCAAAGTTCATAAAGCAACTATTAACAAACCTAAAAGAAGATATCAAAAATAACACAATAATAGTAGGGGACCTCAACACCCCACTCACATCAATGGACAGATCATCCAGACAGAAAATCAACAAAGAAACAGTGGAGCTAAACAAAAAGCTAAAACAGTTGGACTTAATAGACATATATAGAACACTCCATCCAAAAACAGCAGAATACACATTCTTCTCAAGCGTGCATGGAACATTCTCAAGGATAGACCATATGTTGGGAAACAAGGCAAGCCTCTACAAATTTAAAAAAATTGAAATATAACAAGCATCTTCTCCAATCATAATGCTATGAAGCTAGAAATTAATTACAAGAAAAAAGCTGAGAAAGGCACAAGGATGTGGAGACTAAACAATATGCTATTGAACAAGCAATGGATCACTGAAGAAATTACAGAAGAAATCAAAAAATACCTGGAGACAAATGAAAATGATAACAGGCCATATCAACTCATATGGGATGCAGCAAAAGCTATATTAAGAGGAAAATTCATGGCAATTCAGGCACATCTTAATAAACAAGAAAAATCCCAAATCAGCAATCTTAAACTACACCTAACTGAATTAGAGAAAGGAGAACAAACAAAGCCCAAAGTCAGCAGAAGGAGAGAAATAATAAAAATCAGAGCAGAAATAAATGCTATTGAAACAAAAAAGGCAGTAGAAAGGATCAATGAAACAAAGAGCTGGTTCTTTGAGAAGATAAATAAAATTGACAAACCCCTAGCCAGACTTACAAAGAAAAAAAGAGAGAAAGCTCAAATAAACAAAATCAGAAATGAAAGAAGAATAATAACAACAGACTCTGCAGAAATACAACAGATTATAAGAGAATACTACAAAAAACTATATACCAGCAAAAGGGATAACCTAGAGGAAATGGATAAATTCTTGGACTCCTACAATCTCCCAAAGCTCACTCAAGAACAAGCAGACAATTTGAACAGACCAATCACAAGGAAAGAGATTGAAACAGCAATCAAAAGCATCCCAAAGAATAAAACCCCAGGACCAGATGGCTTTCCTGGGGAATTCTACCAAACTTTCAGAGAGGATTTAATACCTATCCTTTTCAAGCTATTCCAAAAAATCAGGGAGGATGGAACACTTCCTAACACATTCTACGAGGCCAACATCACGCTGATACCAAAGCCTGACAAGGACAGCACGAAAAAGGAGAACTACAGGCCAATATCGCTGATGAACATAGATGCAAAAATTCTCAACAAAATTTTGGCAACTCGAATACAGCAATTCATCAAAAGGATCATACATCATGATCAAGTGGGATTCATACCAGGGACACAGGGATGGTTCAACATCCGCAAATCTATCAACGTGATACACCACAACAAACTGAGGTATAAAAACCACATGATCATCTCAATAGATGCAGAGAAAGCATTTGACAAGATCCAACAGCCATTTATGATAAAAACTCTGAACAAAATGGGGATAGAAAGGAACTACCTCAACATAATAAAGGCCACATATGACAAACCCACAGCAAACATCATACTCAATGGGCAAAAACTGAACGCCATCCCCCTGAGAACAGGCACAACACAAGGATGCCCTCTATAACCACTCTTATTTAACACAGTACTGGAGGTCCTGGCCAGAGCAATCAGGCAGAAAAAGGAATAAAAGGAATCCAAATAGGGAGGGAAGAAGTGAAACTCTTGCTGTTTGCAGACAACATGATCTTACATATAGAAAACCGCAAAGAATCCATTGGAAAACTTATAGAAGTAATCAACAACTACAGCAAAGTAGCAAGGTATAAAATCAATTTACAGAAATCAGTAGCATTTCTACTCTAATAACGAACTAACGGAAAAAGAACTCAAGAACACAATACCATACCCAATCGCAACAAAAAGAATAAAATACCTCGGGGTGAATTTAACTAAGGAAGACAAAGACCTATACAATGAAAATTATAAGGCTTTTCTGAAAGAAATGGATGACGACAAAAAGAGATGGAAAGACATTCCATGCACATGGAGTGGAAGAATAAACATAGTTAAAATGTCCATTCTACCTAAAGCAATCTACAGATTCAACGCCATCCCAATCGGAATCCCAATGACATTCTTTACAGAAATAGAACAAAGAATCCTAAAATTCATATGGGGCAACAAAAGACCCCGAATTGCTAAAGCAATCCTGAGAAAAAAGAACACAGCTGGAGACATCACGATCCCTGACTTCAAAACATACTACAAAGCTACAGTAATCAAAACAGCATGGTACTGGTACAAAAACAGGTGCACAGATCAATGGAACAGAAGTGAAAGCCCAGAAATAAAACCACACATCTATGGACAGCTAATCTTCGACACAGGAGCTGAGGGCATACAATGGAGAAAAGAAAGTCTTTTCAACAAATGGTGCTGGGAAAACTGGAATGCCACATGTAAAAGAATGAAAATTGACCATTCTTTTTCACCATTCACCAAAATAGACTCAAAATGGATCAAAGACCTAAAGCTGAGACCTGAAACCATAAGGCTTCTAGAAGAAAATGTACACTCTTTGACATCAGTATTAAAAGGATCTTTTCAGACACCACGTCTTCTCAGACAAGGGAAACAATAGAAAGAATAAACAAATGGGACTTCATCAGACTAAAGAGCTTCTTCAAGGCAAGGGAAAACAGGATTGAAACAAAAAAACAACCCCCTAACTGGGAAAAAATATTTGCAAGTAATATATCCGACAAAGGCTTAATATCCATAATATATAAAGAATTCACACAACTCAACAACAAAAAATTAAACAAGCTAATCAAAAATGGACAGGAGTCATGAACAGACATTTCCCCAAAGAAGATATATGGATGGCCAACAGGTACGTGAAAAGATGTTCATCATCGCTGATCATCAGGGAAATGCAAATCAAAACTACACTAAGATATCACCTTACACCCATTAGAATGACAAAAATAAGTAAAACAAATAGTAACAAATGTTGGAGAGGTTGTGGAGAAAAAGGAACCCTCATACACTGCTGGTGGGAATGCAAACTGGTGCAGCCACTATGGAAAACAGTATGGAGATTCCTCAAAAAATTAAAAATAGAACTACCATACGATCCAGCTATCCCACTACTGGGTATCTATCCAAAGAGCTTGAAGTCAGCAATTCCAAAAGTCCCATGCACCCCAATGTTCATTGCAGCATTATTTACAATAGCCAAGACGTGGAAGCAACCTAAGTGCCCATCAACAGATAACTGGATAAAGAAGATGCGGTGTATATATATACAATGGAATACTACTCAGCCGCAAAAAAGAAGAAAATCGTCCCATTTGCAACAACATGGACGGCCCTTGAGGGAATTATGTTAAGTGAAATAAGCCAGATACAGAAGGACAATCTCTGTATGACTCCACTCATATGAGGAATTTAAATATGTGGACAAAGAGAACAGATTAGTGGCTACCAGGGGAAAGGGGGGGTGGGGGGTGGGCACAAAGGGTGAAGGGTTGCACCCTACAACACGACTGACAGACAATAACGTACAACTGAAATTTCACAAGGTTGTAACCTATCATTAACTCAATAAAAAATTTTTTAAAAAATAAAAGAAATTTAAAAAGTGGAGAAAAAAATACAAATCTAGATGTACTAACATGAAGAGATGGAAAAAATATATTGTTAAGTTAAAGAAAAGGAAGTTACAAAGCAGTACGTATAATGATATAAGCTTTGCAAGCAAACAGTACACATACACATGTACACACCCACACATTTTTAGTATTCGCACAGAAAAATATTCTGGAGTCAGGTTCAGCAAAGAATCTCGGGGATGGGATTACAGTGAGCTTTTACATTTTATCACATATAATTTTGTTACCTTTGACAATTTTATATTGTTATTTTTACATGTGTATTTCTTGCCATAAAGATAAATCGTTTTTTTCTTTTGCAAGGGAGAATGGCCCTGAGCTAACATCTGTGCCAATCTTTCCTCTAGTTTGTATGTGGGTCGCCGCCACAGCATGGCTTGATGTGTGATGTAGGTCTGCACCCAGGATCCAAACCCACGAACCTGGCCATTGAAGTGGAACATGCTGAACTTAACCACTAGGTCACTCAACTAGCCCCAAGATAAATCTTAAAAGAAAAAAAGAAGTGACTCTTACCAATCACACAGCATGTTTCTACACGATATTTATCAATTTCACAGAGGTTGTGAGCCAGATAACTCAACTCAGATTTCATGCTCTGGAAGAGGCAAGAAAGATGCTCTAAGCATGAAAAACAAACCCCCTAAATTATTTTTCTTGTAGCTAATGCAACTGGGTGACAATCCAAACCAGGAGATTAAAGCACAAAAGAGCTTAATCAAGTTCAAGCAAAAGAAGTAGCTCACCCTGACATAAAGAAGGTTGGAGAATGTGTCCATATTTTCAATCCTGTAAGGGTCTTGTTTCCTTAGCTCATTAAAAATAGAGAGGGCTTTGTCGATATCTGCAGAAAGAAGATACAGAGTTTAGAATACAACACAGTGCCACTTTCAGGGTTTGATGGTATTTCATTGTCCTTATTCACTCACCTCTGATATTGTGATAGGCAACTGCAATTTGGGAAACAATATATGAGCTCTTAGAGAAGCCCACATCAATGAGATTCTGATACTTTTGCAGCGCCTCCTCTATCAACTGCAATTCTGTGTATATATGAGCCAGAAAAAACTCTTTCATCCAGGTGTCTGGCAAAGACAGGAACTTCAGCTGGCAGCAGGAGAGAGAGGGACACACTTAATATACTTTAACCTCTCTCCCATACGAACATCAAGGAACTATCTTTATTGTCTAAAGAAGTTTATTACCAAAATTTTATTAGAGCACCTAATAACGAACACAGGGAAGCTCAATTAAGTGAATAGGAACTACAAGCACAACAGGGAGGAATGACCTAGTTGGGGAAGGCTTCAAAGAAAAGAAAGGATTTGAGGTGAGTCTTGGAGGATGGGTCGACTAGAACAGAAAAAAGGAAGAGGAAGAGAAAAAAGACAACATTCTAGGTAAGAGCAACAACATAAACAGAGGAAAAACAGTCATGATGAATGTTGGTGAATAGGATGACAAAACTAGCCTAGTTTGAGGGGAGGCTATGTGCTGGGAAGTAGCGGAAAAATAAGGCTGAACTGGTAAGGTGGGTCCTATGGCGCAACAGGAAACGGGATGCAATAGGAAACCACTCCAATTTTTGGCAAGAGAATGATATGGTGACATGGGTTTTTAAGAATAAGTTTAGAAACAGTATGCAGGATGGCTTGGAAATGGGAGTGTAAAAACGGGAAAGCTAGATATAAAGTATTTATTACTTATAAGTAATCCAAATTTGAGATGATAACCACAATGGCAAAGGAAACCAAGAGAGAGAGATACACACAAGAAAGAAACCACAGCAATGTCTGACAACTGACTAGATAAGGGAGATAAGGGAAAGGGAAGAGACAAATATGACTCTGAGGCATCAACACTGGTGTCTTGAGAAACAGTGATGCTAAAGAGAGTCTATCTAGTTTGGAGGAACAAAGAGAATTTGGTAGGCAAGATGAGAAATTTGGTTTTGTATATTTTGAATTTAGAGATAAAACAAACTTTCAATGAAAGTCTAGCAGGCAGTTAGAGATGGTGAATACAAGTAAACAAAGATTAAGATTTCAGACAGATTTAGTAGCATGTATCATTACTGGGGGAAATCAACCAGGCTTTGGTTCTTTAGAGCCAACAAAAGGATGCTATCATTTCCATTAACTATTGAAGAACAGCAAAATAAACTCTATAGACAATATCCTCTAATAATGACTAACAAAATGATTGCAGTTTATAAAGCAATTTCATATACATCATTTCATTAATTAACAAATCACTAAATCTTTACAGAGTCCTATGACAGCTCAGAAGAGACCTTAAAAAGGTTTTTAAGACAATCTTTAATATCAGAGAAACCTTTCCTATAGCATCTTTGGAATTAGGAGAGAAACTACAATAGCATTTAGTCTATAAAACAAGTTACAGTAAAACCTGAAAGTGAAAACATGAATATGTGAAGATATTCTAATACAACTGGATGCAAATCCAACAGCAACTACCAAACAAGAGCTAAACATTAGTCTTCAAATGAAGATCTAAATCCCAACAGTGAAAGAGACTAGAGAAGGAGCAAAGAGCTAGCTATAATGAAAGGTTTAGCAGAACTCTTTCTCCCTCTACCCCATTATTACAGAATTATGTAAGACTGGAGCAGGAGGTTTTTCACATAGCTCATCTCAATTTACCATCTCTTTGTCTGTAATCAAGTTACAGAGTTCTAGCCAGGCTCCCCAGTGCAAAGGCAAAACATGAGTAGCCTCCACAAACACATCAATGGCCTCTTTCACCAAGTCCAGTTTTCGAAGCACCACACCATAACTAGGAAAGAAGGAAACAATCACAGGAAAAGTTAATGCTTTATAATACCTTCCTTCTACCCAGGAGAATATGTTATAGAAAGTTCCAAATTACTTTAACACTTACAGATAAAGGCCAAATCCATCAAGTTCCCGAGCCTGGTGTTTTTTGCTGAGCTCCACTCTCAATTCTCTAAGGGCCTCATTTTTCACTTGTCCTTTCTCCAGGGGTCCTAGGAAAGAAACAAAGTCTCTGATCTAAGGGAAGACAGCTGATCTTCATTTCATAGACCTAGAGACTGCCTTTGCATCAACCAAAGTTACTAAACCTGGAACTTCCAGGAAACATTTACAAGTAAACAATGATATCTTACACAATCCATTTACTTTATTCCAGAAACTGCTACTGATAACTTGTCTGTAGTCATATTTTGTTAGGCCCACACAAGTTTTTAAAAATCTGAATTAGTTATCAATGTTTAAACATCAGAAGCCTCAACTAAAAATCCAAATTTCCAGTTTCAGGTTGCAGGCAACAAGGTAGGGCCAAGGGAAGAAAGCCCTGACAACACTAGGCCCACATTCCATAAGGCAGCCCTCAGAGGAGCTGGGTGACAACTGGCCAGTTGTGCTCTTCGATTTGCAAAAGTCCTCCTCAGTCTACTCCACACATTTATATTACTTGCCTGGCTCCTGTAGGCCATTTGAGTTTGCAACCTCTGCTTTAGTCCAAAAGGTAAGAGAAAGAAATTCATACCTAGGCTGTCAACTGTTTCATCATCCTTTTTCTTTTCACCAGACTGTAAGAGAAAATCAATAGATCTTTTTTCAGTTTATTCTGAAACCTGTTCTAAAACTAGCAGCCTGATTCTACCTAAAGGGCCCAAGTCCAACCAAAATGGCATCTACTATTGGTCACTAATTTTAAACAACTATTCAGGGACTCCCACAGGCCAAATCTGGAATAATCTAAGCACCACAATAATTAAGTACGGTAATAAATTATAAACAATTAAAAACATAGGAATCTTTGAGTCCATACTGATAAGAGATAAATAAATGGAGAAGAAGTAAGGCTCTTGCTTACAGCAGAATGCCAAGTAGTGAGTAGTAAATGTGGAGAGGGTGCTGGAGTGGAAAATCACTTTACAACATCATAGTAAAGAATACTACAGGCAAGAATTAACAAAAGATTTCTTGACTAATGGATGGTTGGGTTACTGACATTTTTTGGCTATTACAAAAAAATACTTCAATGAACAGCCCTGTACATATATCCCTATTTCACATATTAAAGTATTTCTACTGGACAATTTAAGTTCCTTAGAGTAGAATTGTTTGGTTATAGTATTTCACATTGACATAATCTGCCAAAATTGATATCCAAAACAGTTGTATGAACTTTCACTCCTAAAACAGGTCTACTACCCCACACCTCTGTCAATAATTATCATCAATATTTTTACTATTATCTTTCATACTGTCATTTTTTTTACTTTATTTATGATATTTTCTTTATTATTGTTAAGTATTTACAAAGTACATTCACCAAGTAGGCTATTGTTGAACTATTTAAAACACTGAACTTTTCCACTTGGCTCTAAATAGGGATGCTTCACTTGAAGATAGAATGACATCTCAAAAGGCCCTCACCAGATATCTAGAATACATGTACAAGAAATAGGCTTTCTTGCTATTGCAGCCATGCAGGAAATGTGCTGCCCGATCATATTCTTTAACGTCAAAGTAGGCCTTGGCCAGGGTATAAGCATCCATATCCTGGGCATCCTCCTAGAAAAGAGACAAGCCTACGTAAGTGGTTGGGAACAGAACAAAAAACCTCAAATCCAAGAAGCATATTCATTAATTTCAAGATATATGAAAAAATAATTATTTTTCTCCTCCAAAAAACCAAATATATATAGAAAACATAATATATTTAAAAATATATAATATATATTTTATGTATTTTAATATGCAATATATGATTTTTATATATTTATTTTATTATGTAGTAAGGTCAAAACTTTTTTCCAAAACATTTTTCCAAAATAAAAAATTGGGAAATAAAATAAAAATTTTAAAAACTAAACCAACACACTCAGAGGCTTGTAATATTTTTGCAAATGTAGTGGGAACTTGCACAGGCTGTAGCGTGAGGGACCTGGATTCAAATTCTGACTCCTTGATTTCCTGGTTTCATGACATTAGTAGGGAAATTACTTAGCTTTTCTGAGTATTCACTTCTTCATCTGTAAAATGGAGCCAGTAATACAGATTTAATATGAGAAAAAAGTGAAAAATTATGGAAAATATCTGGCATTAATGTCTGACATTCCCTTCCTTCTCCAGGCTTTTCAATTCTTAGATAAATGCTATACTCTGCAATTACTTATACTTTCTTTTTCTTTTTTCCTTTTCTTCTTCTCCCCAAAGCTTTACAGTATATAGTTGTATATTCTAGTTGTGAGTGCCTCTGGTTGTGCTATGTGGGACGCAGCCTGAGCATGGCCTGATGAGCGGTGCTAGGTCCATGCCCAGGATCCGAACCAGCAAAACCCTGGGCCGCCAAAGCAGAATGCAGGAACTTAACCACTCAGCCACAGGGCGGCCCCACTTATACTTTCTATACTTGAAAAAAGTTTTGACGTTAGTATTGCAAAAAGCATAGAACACTGCTAAATTCTGTATGTAAAAAAATGAAATGATGCACATTTAAGTTAAAAACAGACAAACCCCCAAATTCTAAGGATAATTAAAACTTTAATAATTTCGGGGCCCGCCGAGTGGCACAGTGGTTAAGTTCCCACATTCCACTTCTCAGCTGCCCCAGGTTCGCCGGTTTGGATCCCGGGTGTGGACATGCACGGCTTGGCACGCCATGCTGTCGTAGGCATCCCACATATAAAGTGGAGGAAGATGGGCATGGATGTTAGCTCAGGGCCAGGCTTCCACAGAAAAAAGAGGAGGACTGGCAGTAGTTAGCTCAGGGCTGATCTTCCTCAAAAAAAAAAACTTTAATAATTTCATTTTCCTCACCCTTCTTGCCCCAAATATTACCAGCACAAAACTGGACCCAAAATATATTCAGCATTTTCTTCATTGAATCAATAAGTCTTAAATGTGGTCATTCAGCTTAGGATTCTGGTGGCCCTTCTGGTGGCCCTTCCACACACCATTTGCTTATTTCTTCCGCCACCCCTTCCCAACTGCATTATACCTTTCGGAGGTGTATACCATTATACCTTTTGGTTTTGGTTTTTTTTCTTGGTGAGAAAGATTGGCCCTGAGCTAACATTTGTACCAATCTTCCTCTTTTTTTTTTTTTTTTGTACATGGGAAGCCGCCACAGCATGGCTTGATGAGCCCTGTGTATGCCCGCACCAAGGATCCCAACTAGGCCACTGATTTGGAGCTCGTGAACTTAACCACCATGCCACCTGCCGGACCTCTCTTGTTAAGTGGGGGAGGGGAGAATCAAGAAATGGCATTTTCAGGAAAAACTGAATTATGATGAAAATCATTCTAACTACACAGACTATGTAAACATACATACCAAAAAGTTTATACATAAAATATACTCATATCTCATTTAATTCTCTCAATATCCTCATGAAGTAAATACTATTATCTGCATTTCACCGATGAGGAAACTGTAGCTGAGGAGGTTAAGTTGCCAAAAGTCACCAGTGTGGTTGAGATTTCAATCCAAAGCTATCTGAATCCAAAGTCAGTTTCGCACTGGTGTCAAAACCTTTCATTCTTTTCATCGTTATGAACACCGTCTAGGTTGGGCTACAAAACCGAAAAGACTGAACTCTTAATCAAGGACTGTTTACAAATTCTCTCCAGCTTAAGAGCACCACCAAATCTTTCAAAGCTCAACAAAATCACACGGATAAAATCAATTAAAACACCCAGCTCCTTTTTTTTTTTTTCCTTTGAGGAAGATTAGCCCTGAGCTAACACCTGCTGCCAATCCTCCTCTTTTTGCTGAGGAAGACCGGCCCTGAGCTAACATCTGTGCCCATCTTCCTCTACTTTATATGTGGGATGCCAACCACAGCATGGCGTGCCAAGCGGTGCCATGTCCGCACCCGGGATCCCAGCCGGGGAATCCCGGGCTGCTGGAGCAGAAGGTACGCACTTAACCGCTGCGCTACGCGGCCCCTTCCAGCTCCTTAAATGCTGGAATTCTCTCTTCAAACACTCCTTTAAGCAGTCTGCTCCCTTCCAGGGACAGGGCACTGAGTGCGTCTTCGGGTGACGGGGAGCGCTCGCTGTGAAGCAGCCCTTACCTCCGTAATAGGCGGCGGCGGCTGCAGCTCGGCCAGAGGCAACGGCGGGAGGGAGAAGGCCAACTCGGCGGACCTGGAACACCCACACAAACTGAATCAGCTCCCCAAGCCCCTCAAGGCCGAGCATCCAAGCCCTGTCTCTTCCGACCCCGACACCTCACCATTTGCTACTGTGCAGTAGGCCTCGCTCCCGGGTAAGGCCAGCGATGAGGAGCAGCTGCTTTTTAATTTCCCGCAAATTTGAGAAATCGCCACTCGTTGAGAGGACCGGCACCACGGCAGCCGTCACGGCCGCCGGCACAACAGACGCGCTCGCAGCCATTTTCCAGGCTCGGCCACTTCAGCCAATCATTAGTGATAATACTAGCTGTCCGTGTGCAACGAAAAAGCCTGCTTGCTATTGGCGGGCTTTGGCTCCGGAAAGCCAATCAGAGATCTTTCTTTTCGTAACATCTCCAAGAGGCCGGGAAAGAAGAGACACCCATATCCCCGATTGGCCAAGGGCTAACTGGGGCGGGAAAGTTAGAAACAGAAAGGGGATGGGGCGGGGGGCGGGAAGCCATGATCTTTGGGCGGGGCGGGGAGGAAAGAGGGACTGGGAGTGGGAAGCTGGGAGTGGGAGCAGGGGCGAGAACGGATGCAGAAGGCAGAGTGCCCTGCACCTTAGGGGTGATGTGTTTGGACGAAAGACGGAAAGAGTGTAGTTTGTGAGTAGAATCTGTGCCACTCGACGACAAAGTGGTGTACGTATCCAGCAAGGATGTCTGGTACCCTCTGGATTTTTCCTTAACGCAGCAAGATGTGTGGCCACTAGTGGAGAATCTTTCCTCTTTATCCACCTTCTTTCTTACCTCAGCGGGGGAAAGCTAGCTAACACTTATTAAGGGCTTACCCAGGGACAGGTTCTGTACATTTACAAGTATAATCCGGTTTAACCCCTAAAACAACTCTAAGACATGCGTGTCATCCCAGTTTTACAGATAAGAAAACGGAAACTCAGAGAAGTTCTGTCACTCTTCCGGGAAGACCGTCTAGATGATAACCCAGCTGCGACTGCAGATCCCAGCATTCTTAAACATTACCTCAACATTTTCAACTTTTTTTTTGTTTTTAACCCTTTCACAGTAATATATGATTTTATCAACTCCCTTGGGAACTATTTGAACGATTTTGTCATTCTTGGGGTGTTACATAGGACTGATTTTAGGTAAAGCATATTGTTTTAGAGTAATAAATATTATTAAAGATTGTGTTATAAAATCAACTTTATTGCACCATAATGTATAGTATATGAAGGCAAAATTCTACTTTTTTCTTGTTTCACAAGTGATGCACACTTTATATTTGTCTTAAACTTTTAATTTAAGAAAAAAAAGCATGATGTGTTAGCAAATTAAAAAATTACATCATATCATACCCATGAATATATATATTGAATATAAAGTGAATAAACACTGACACAGAATGAAAAGTAACTGTTTATGTCATTATATATAGTAAAATAATGCTTTTATGACTTGTTTGGAACTCTTACATTTTGCCCTTTAAAATATCAAATTCTTTATTTTTGTAATTGTATATAATTTTACATTTTTATGTTTTGTTTTTAAATAGCAAGAAAATAGAGATGATTTCAAGATGCTTTTGGCAAGCACTTCTCTATAAACACATTTTGGGTGTAATCTTTTATCCAAATTAGTGAAGAGCTAAATTGGATATAATTGTCACACAATTTTTTTTACAACTTTTAAAACCATAATTGTTCTTATAATATCATTACTCTGTATTATACTTTTTTTATGTGATGTTATATAATATTTATTCCTCCACCATCCCTCCCCCCCACCACTCCCCGCTATTACATGGACTTTGTACCTTTCTATGTTATAACACTCTTGTGTGTGTGAGGAAGATTGTCCCTGAGCTAACATCTGCGCTAATCTGCCTCTACTTTATATGTGGGATGCTGCCACAGCATGATTCGATGAGCCATGTGTAGGTCACTGCCCAGGATCCAGGGCTGTGAACGCCAGGATGCCGAAGCGGAGCATTTGAACTTAACCGCTATGCCACTGGGCCAGCCCCCAAATTTTTCTATTACAGTAATAACATATGGTCAGGGGCTGGCCTGTTGGCGTCCCTTCATACTGTCTTGTTGCCCACATTTGTCACTTTGTAATTCACTATGGGCCTTTTCCCACGTTGATAAATATTCTTCTACATCTTATCCTTGCCTATTAATCCATTATATGGATGTACCATAAATATATATAACCAGTCCCTTGTGCTGAATTTGTATCTTATAATCATAATTTTCATAACCATAATTTTTAAAGCTATATAATACTCAATTGAATAGAAATATCATCTTTTAAATTTTAATTTTCTCATCACATATTTGTATAATTACTGACTTCTTATTGTTATAAATTATGATATATTGAGCATCTTTGTGCACAAGGGGTTTTTTCTTTAATAGTTAGGATTGTTTCACAGGATAGATCCTTGAAATAATGGTGGAGGTTTTTTTTTCATTCTGAAGTGTCAATTATATTGAATGATTTGGAGGAAAAAGTATGTATATCTTCATACATAAGTATATCTTCATACATAAGTATGAAGATATATGTTCTTGATTAGAACGCAAAATTCAAATGACTTTTTTAAAATAGCAGCTTTATTGAGATATAATTCAAGTACCATAAAAGTTCACCCTTTTAATATGTACAATTCAGGGACTGGGCCCGTGGCCAAGTGGTTAAGTTCACACGCCCTGCTTCAGCAGCCCCAGGTTTCTCCAGTTCGGATCCTGGGTGCAGACATGGCCCTGCTGGTCAGGCCACATCCCACGTGCCACAACTGGAAAGGCCCACAAGTAAAAATATACAACTGTGTATAGAGGGATTTGGGGAGAAAAAGCAGGGAAAAAAAAAGATTGGCAACAGTTGTTAGCTCAGGTGCCAATCTAAAAAATAAAAAAACTTTAAAAAAATGCACAATTCAGTGGTTTTGAGTATATTTATATAGTTGTGCAACTATCATGACTAATTCCAGAATATTTTCATCACTCCAGAAAGAAACCCCATACCTATTAGCAGTCACTTCCCATCCTCCCCTCCCCCTAGACCCTGGCTATATTTTCTCTTTGTAACATTGCTTTCTGAAGCCCCAGAGATTTCTTTTTCTTTTCTTTTCTTTTTTTTTTCTGAGAAACATTAGCCCTGAGCTAATATCTGCTGCCAGTCCTTCTCTTTTTGTTGAGGAAGTTTAGCCCTGAGCTAACATCTGCCAGTCCTCTTCTTTTTGCTGAGGAAGACTGGCCCTGAGCTAACATCTATCCCCATCTTCCTCTACTTTATATGTGGGACGCCTGCCACAGCATGGCTTGATAAGTGGTGTGTGTGTAGGTCTGCACCTGGGATTCAAACCGGTGAACCCTGGGCCACCCAAGCGGAGCACTTGAACTTAGCCACTGCGCCACCAGGCTGGCCCCCCCAGAGATTTCTTGATGTGCTAGATCAGATTTTTTATTAGATGAATGCAATTCACAAATATGTTGAAAAGGACCTTAAGGCAAATTTACAGAATTATCATTTGTAAGCTCCTCACTAACTAGTATTTCAACATCAGAGTTCCTTATGAGTCTTAACCATTATCCATTGTGGGTAAATTTTTAATGTATATGTGACAGAATAAAACACTACAACAGTTAAAACCACCACAGAGGCTTCCAGTGTTCAACTGAGTAATAAACTGTTTCATGCTCATCTGATCCACCTCACACTCATTCTTTCATTCACTCAAGACTCAAACTGTTCCTTTTTTCAGGAGGAAAAATATTTATTACTATTATTATTATTTTGGGTGAGGAAGATTGGCCCTGAGCTAACACCTGTTGCTAATGTTCCTCTTTTTGCTGGAGAAAGATTGGCCCTGAGCTAACATGTGCTCCACTCTTTCCCCTATTTTGTATGTGGGTCACCACCACAGCATGGCTTGATGAGTAGTGTAGGTCCCTGCCCGGGATCCAAACCTGTGAATCTGGGCCACTGAAGTGGAGTGCACTGAATTTAACCACTACACCACCAGACCGGCCCCAGGAGGAAAAATATTTAAATAATTATTATTTGTTAAATGTTTAAAAAATGAAAGTCATAATACCACCTTTAATGATATGGACCCCCCAACACCTTTGTGAACCCCTGAATTCTACTTCCTTGCCCTCCAACACCACCAATCTCAGCCCACTTCAAAGGTGTCTCATTTCCAAACTGACATTAGGCATCTTTTTACCTTTCTTCTCCTCTCTCTAGAGGTAAAATGTTGGTAGTGATAAGGGTTCTTTATTGGGAGGCAGTAGAGTAAAGAGCTTAAGAATGTGGGCTTTGAGCCATACTACCTAGGTTCAAACCTTAATTCCACCACTACCAGCTTGTGACCTTGGAAATGTCATTTATTCTATGACCTTTAGGTCATAGACGTTATTGACAAAATAAGGATCATGACAATAATTCCTGCTATTCAGTTCAGGTAAGAACTGAATGAGATAATCCATGTAATACATTTAGAATAATTTTTAACATAATAAGCACTGGATACATGTAAGCTATTCTTGAACACTTACCCTCTGCTGGCAACTTTACATATGATCATCAATCCTCGTGACAACCCTGCAAGGAGGTATCATCATCCCTATTTTACAGATGCAGAAAGGCAACTTATCTGAGGTGACTTCAAGTTCTAACTAAAACCCATACTCTTCCACTACATTTTCATAACTATAAAAAAATTAATAATTCATCTTATTTGTATGTTTTGCCATCATAAACAATTTTCAAATGTTATTGAATCCTGTAAAGAAGATAAAATTATCTCCTTTTTCAAATGATAATAAGACCTATTTTATAGAGTTGTTAAAACGATTACGGACATGTGCACTTAGTAGGGACTACTATTTCTACTAGGGGACAGACAGCATGACTTAAGGGTTACCCAGCCATTCAGAAGTAAAGAAACCAGGACTCCGTGTTTCTGGTTCAAGCTTCTGCCCTCATATATAGCTGCCATCTAGAAGCAGCTCAGGATTGGGATCCAGAAGAGCTGAAATCCACCATGATCTAAACATACCTGAGAAAATCTCCCCCTCCCCCACTCCCTCTCCCCACTGGGCCTCAGCTTTCCTCCTTATAAAATGACAGTGCTGGGCAAGATGACTTTCAAGATTTCTTCTGCCTCTGATAATCTCTAATTGGAGATTGGAGCTCAGATTGCCTCTGTGAAAGTTAGAGGAGAGGAAATGATCTCCTTGTTTTTGGTTAATTAACAGTAAGTAAATCAAA